CCCAAACTAATAAACGCAGCGCAATGAAACTTGGTACACGTATTTATAGGGACGTAACTGTGATGTTTAGCTCGTGAAAAATGTTAATCACCTTATTTCGTGAGTTATCTGGCGAAACGGGCCGAAATTTGCGAACAATCAAGGAATTTTTTCCAAATTACTGATCAGATTTGAACATAATTCTGAATATATATTCCTAACTACCAAACGGTGATGTTTTGCTCTTGAAAATTTTTTCGATTTTGCCTCCGTTCGCGAGTTTTTTTTTCATTTCACCTTCATTCGTGATTTAAACAGTAATTCGTGCTTAATTCACAACGATCAAGACATTTCTTCTAAACTACGGAACAGATTTGAACGAAACTTTGTACATGAATACCTTACTTTCCAACGGTGCTGTTTAGCTCGTGACAATTTTTTTATTTTACCTTCGTTCGCGAGTTATACGGATATACGGAGAAACGACCAGCATTTCTTAGGCCGATTTTTTAATTTTTAAATTTGAATTGACTAAGAGCCGTATACATATTGCAGTATAACTCGCAAACGATGGCAAAATAAAAAAATGTCTTGATCCCTGCGAATTTGAGCACGTATTGCTGTTTAAATCACGAATGAAGGTGAAAGGAAAAAAAATTGCGAACTAGATAAAATAGAAAAAAATTTTACGTGTTAAACAAGCTAAACATCACCGTTTGGTAGTTAGGAATATATATTCAAAATTTTGTTCAAATCTGTTCAGTAATTTGGAAAAAAATCCTTGATCACTGCGAATTTCAGCCCGTATCGCCATATAACTCACGAATGAAGGCGAAATTAAGAAAATATCACGAGCTAAACATCACCGTTAAAGAATTCGTGTTCCAAGTTTCATCGAGCTACGTTCATTATTTTGGGAGATATTTCTTTGATCATTGAAATTGCGAGAAAGGCCGCGGGTCGGCCGCGAGTCCGTCCGTAAAGTTGTCCGAGATGTTTCCTATATATTGTGCCTGCCTGTTTCGTGCAGAGTGCAAACATGCAATAATAAGAAAAATTAAGCGTATGAAGAATTTAAATAGCGTTCTACAGACTCCCAAGAACTAGAGGCCGAAGCGTTGAACGTTTGCGCGATTGGGATACAAGTTTATAGTATTTTTATTACCCCTTGAGTTATGACTATATTATACCCAAGTAAATGGAAGAATAATTTCAGTATGGAATCCTTTTAAAAAATACGAATTACATCTATAACAAATAATTCAATCGTTTTATATGAAGTGCACGATTTTTTCGCAGTAACGTCTTCTTTCTTGTGAGCATTCAGTGCGACTTAATTATGATTACAATCGATTTTAATTCCATCCATTTAAAGTCATTAGCAGAAAAGTTCCTATTGTATGTGGAGAGGAAGCTGTTAGTGAAGAATAAACGCATTAGGCCAGGTATTATCTTTTCGAATCCTACAATTTAGCCACAAAGATTTTTACAACGGAGATAAACGTTCGTTGATAAAAAAACGGTTTTCTAACCCCATACACAACCCCGCTTGAAGTCAAATGGTTTATTTTTATCCAACAAAGTTGAGATATTCGACCATTTCGTCCCATATATTAATGCTTAGATTTTTATTCCGTATTATAAGGTATTTAAAAGAATGAAAAAGCTGAATTTGCCACATCAAGCTTCCTTATCGTATTTGTCCGCTGCCTCCTCGATCAAGAAATGTTCATCCAGAAAATGTAACGCATACGAAAATTTCATTTTACGACGTCGGAAAAATAAATTCGAATTTAAAATAAATATATTTTCAGGGCCTTGGCTGTGTGTAGGTTTTCTATTTTCTAGAATACAATTTGCGATAAGTTAGCTAACTGAGCTACCTGACGTTTCATTAAAAATATTTGGCCGAACAATGGCTTTTAACAAAGCAAATCCTTATTACTGGTTATAATGTTTGTCAAATCTCATGCAAATATATTCAAAATATTTCAGGAAACAATGTTCAACGCCCATGATTCTATTTACCATCGTCCATCATCCTAAAAAAGGACGTCGCACTGTACGACCCACTGCCGAATAATAATCATAATTAATTAAAATTAATTCCACTATTTCGCGGAATATCCTGACGCTCGACACAACATATTGCCATATTTTGTGCCGCGAGTTCATTATTTAGCGGAATATCCTGACGCCCAACACAACNGTGGACATACAAATATTTCTGCTCAAGTAATGCATTGTAGAGCGTGTGGCTGCGAAGAACTGTCGCGTGAGAATAGCCTGCAACCATTCAAAAGGTACTGGAGTAAACTTAGAGTTCTATCGGATCTATGCGTGTTTGACGAAGACGGTCAAGCTGTGGTATTGCTGCCATTCCAATTTCTTGTTGACGTGGTGTTTAAAATACACACACAAATTTTGGAAGACATAAGTTGGAAGTTATAAGTTGGAAGACATAAGTTGGAGAAATTGATAATGAATAAATTTTTCATCCATCTATCAAAAAGATAATCAAATACCACGCGCACTTGCACACATTGTCAGCCATATAAAGTTTCTTATCAACCTGTAAACCCACCTACTTTAAAAATTAAAGCTAGGTATCCATTTGACTTAGTTGCTATTGATTTGCTTATGTTTTCCAGGTCATCATGTGGTAATATTGTTGTTTTAGTTTGTGTTGATCACTTTTCTAAATTTTTATATGCCGTGCCTCTTAGAGATAAGAAATCATCATCGGTGTGTAGAGCCTTGAATAGTTATATATTTCCGTGTATGCCTAGACTGCCGTCGAGAATGTTGAGTGATAATAGTCCTGAATTTCGGTCTAGTGAATTTGAGAGTACCTTATCTGCTTACAATATTAGTCACGTTTTCTCGACTACATATAGAGCCCATGCAAGGGAACGGAGCCGTAGAGCGCTCGAACAGAACGATCATAGAATTTGTCAAAGGTGTGGTCCAGGAAAACCCAAAATTATGGGATGTAATGTTTTGCAAAGCAATCATTGTGCATAATAATACCTGGCATGAATCCATTAAAACGGCTCTTTCAGAGTGCATATTAAGCAAAGCACTCTGCTTAATATGCACTCCGGAAAAAGTTGCACTACGAATCCATAAAATCGGTAATCAAATACATTAAAAATTAGGAAACAAGTTTACAGGTCCATACAGAGTAACGAAAGTTTAAAGTCATGGTGTGAGCTATGAAATATCCGACGGAGAGACGGTCCTTAAAGCTCATCACAAGCAATTGAAGCCATGGTTTGACCCACCAGACTATTTTCGGGACTACATGCATATAGAAACTGATGTGCAATCTGAGTTACCTGATGGAAATTCAGGGGATAGCAGTAATTCAGAGTTTAACTATGCATGTCCTGTAGACACGGTAATGTTGAGCGAGAGTGACCCGGATGAAAGTGATAGCAAGTGTACATCTGTGTCAAATTTTACTGCTGTAGAACTCAAATTGTGTAACGATTTTCTGTTCGATGCAGATTTTGTCTGAGAGTTTAGGGAATTACGTGATAAATATTTGTATCTTGTCGAGAGTCCTGTCGGTGTCGATCAAGTTATGGAGGAAATTAATGATGCTGAACGAAGTGTGTTTCAGCAGCGAAGAGATTGATTTTATTCTACCGGAAGAGAGTGTACCCAGAAAAATTGCTAATGTGTCGCAAACGTTGAATGATGCGTGGTTAGAAGAGGTCACTGATATTTTATCGATAGAAAACATACATGTGCGAGATGACCGTACGGATATTTTAACCAGAATGAGCAGTTATGTGAATCATGTGCGAGAGGCGATTGCAGATTATAGACAAAATGAAGGTAGTTTATGGAGAACTCGTTTTGAACCAAATGATAACGATAATGTTATTGATGAAGCGTCGGATAGGATTGAGGAGCTGCCCGAGGATAGCTTGGAATTGTGTCGAAGAGTAACGCGTTTGCAAGAACCGCTACAGGAATATCAGAATGTACAAAAATCTACCTTTGAGTACAAAGTTAAATTTAAATTCTAATATTTGTCCATTTTAGCGTGTTGTTTTCGAATAAAGTCCAAATGAATTTTAATTTGGTAGCTGAATATGTAGAGTTTGAAACAAAGTTTAGAATTTTGTTGAGTCCTGTGATAAGTATTAAACGAATGTGGTTTAGGATTGTGCCGGTGTAAAAATTGTAAATATTTTTTTATTTGAAATTAGCGTTATTTCTAATTGCAATGTGCCCATTACACTAGTTTGGGAGCAGTATGTAAGGGATAGAAATCATTGTTACTCATTGCTGTTTAACAATCAGAGTATTAATTGTATAAGTTGTTTATAGTCCGGAATTTTAAAATGGTCATTTTATTTGAGAGTTTACTGTCTGAATATTAAGTGCGGAAGGTTGAGGTGATAAGATTATTCTGTTGCGGAAAGTCGGAGAGTTGGTATGTACTGTTTTAGGATGTCGAAATGCAAATTTATGTATGAATGGATTGGATACGGAATAGATTTGTGAATATTTAGGGTTAAGAAGTTTGTAATATTTGTTCACTATCACTTATTTATCGTAAGTAAACCTTGTACGTTTCGTAACGATATTACTAAAACCAGTTATAGTTATAGTCGCTTTATACAAATCGTACAAATAAATTGACCCCATACACTATTTTAATCGTCTCTGTTCTTAAATGACGTAGGTAATTACTTATATTATCACTTTGCTTACATCGCAAGTTGACAAGGAATTTAAAAGCAAAGAAAACGCCAAGCAAATTCACCATACTGCAATTGAAAACGTTTCGCAGTCCAGCTCCATCATCAGTTCGAATATCTAAAAATTAATAAAATCATTTCATAAGTCAAAATTCTAAGACAGACATAAAACCTAAACGAAACCTATCATTATATCGAAAAACATTATATTGTCACACTGACGATGGAGCTGGACTCCGAAACGTTTTCAATATCGGAATGACGTAATTCAAGTGAAATTTAACACGAGCCTCTCATGGTACTCACAGAATTTGATGATATCTCCACGGCAGCCTGCAACAAACGAAATTGGTACACTTGAAACGACATATTCAACTTTGTCTCTACCTATGAGAAGATTTACACGCGTTCATCTGACCACCTTTGCTCAGACTGGCCGAGAGTTGCTGTTGTTGCAATGATGAAAAATCAAGGCGAAATGATAACATTGTTCATGTGGTGATCACTTATAATAATATTTGATAGACATAGAATAATGTTTTGACTCCATTCGTTATTACCATTGTAAGAAATTAATTAGCATTTTTTCTTAGTTAATGGAAGCAGTCATTACGCGGATCTCTTTTTAGATTAAAAAATTATTCTGGCTAACTCAGCATGACTTGAATTTGGGCGCTGAATTATGGCACGAAAGTATAAATAATATATATAATGGTATCATTATAAGATCACACTCGATAAGTTAAAGAATTGCATTAGTGAACTGTTATAGAAATCACACGCTCATTTTTGACACTTTACTATAAAATAGGTTCCCCTAGGTACCCTTGAAGTAACTGTTAGAAATAAGGTGGCTGTGAGTTGCTGTTCCGGCGCATTTGAATTCAAAACACCCGACTTCCGTGAGCAGCGAGTTTTATTCTTAAATTTAGTATAAATAAAAACTTTACTCTACATCATGTTGACACAAAAGATAAGTGATTCTTATCAGGTACAAATTATAATTAATAAATGCCATTGCAAAAACGCTAATATTCACCGCAATATCGCTTGCGTTAATTATTAAAGAAATCGGAACATGAGTTAAGAAGTAACGAAATTCCGTGACACTTTGTTGAGTTAATTCTGAACATCGACTTGCGAAATAGTCCGTTGTTTATAATAAGTCTAGACTAAATTGAAGTGCAACAATGGCTAGTAGAAAGTTACCTCGAGCATACATATTTATGGATAGGTAATCTAACACTAGCGCAAGTGCAGTGACTTGTACTGCTAACATATATAGTTGCAATTATAGAGAACACACTCGATCGAAGAACCCCAACTTACCAAATTCTCCTTTCATACTTCGAATTTTGACCATCGTTTATTTTTGTAATTTAACGCAGGAGACCCGCTCCATATTTAAAAAAAACACAGCGATATCGTTTAGTTTCAAGGAAAGTCGGCCACTAGAACGCCGTTAATACTTTATTTCACGCTTATTTTGAAGAGCGAAGGTCCCTTCCCGTAGATTCAACATCAAGTTATCCGTCATGAATTCGAGTAGAATAAACAAAATTTATACCATTATGCAAATTCATTTTCCAAATCATACCCAAAGTTATCACTCAGGAAAATGTCAACAATAAATATCTAAAGTTGGCCAGTTTAATGGCGACATAAGTGAAGTCGCCAGTGGAGACTCACGGTAGAGCAGAAGCCGGCGAAGACGAGCGACAGCGCCAGCAGTCTCTGCCTCATCGTGTTATCGATGTCGCTCGCAGCCATCCTAGAAAATAGGAGAAGCTGAGATATAAATAGATATAAATAAATATAAAGAGATATATGATATAATAGATATAAATAAATATTCCAACATTCGATCAAATCAAACTCGAATTATAATACTCATCCATGCAGCTACGTTACACGGAACATAAATAAATATATTGTTGATTACAAGCAATAAGTTTTTATCTGCTATTGACGACGCACGACGAAGATGAAAGCTAAAAGCTGTGTGTATTTGAGCACAAACTTTGATCGTAAATCTAAACACATATCACTTAGACTGCATGATAACCACCGACTTACCTAGTGGACCTAGGTAAGTCGGAAACTATATACTAGTGTATATAGTTACCTATATACACTACCTAGTTACCTATATACACTACCTATATATACACTTACCTAGGTCCTAGTGGACCTAGGTAAGTCGGAAACTATCTATAACCTGATGAATTCCTACGGAAACTTCTCATAGGTGCCGGACTAGAAACTGAATGTAACGATTGACGTTGAAAAGAACGCGTAAAAAGTTGTTTCCAGCACTGGGTCCAAGAAGCTAATGTTCCGTAGCGGGGACGACAGTGGCGTACTTCTAGTGAGGTGAAGCTATTGACTGACCTCTTTGGTAGCCATAACACCTGTGGAAAGCTTTCACTTTTTTGAATACATTCGCTTTTTGAAGACATTCATCTATTGAACACACTCGGCTGGTGACTCATCGACAACTGTTAGATTTCGCTAACGATGAGTGTACTAACCTGATTTCTAAAAATAAAGAAATGATTGGATCTTCGTTATATCTTCGTACATGAATTGTATATGAACAATATTCTGTAAATATTGCCTGAAATAATATTCAAAATATTTTAATGCAACGGAGTTAAAATAAATTAGGAATTTTTTAATCAGCCACTATTTCCAAGCGCAAAAAGTTTTCCTAACGAACATAAAATGCTAGATTAGAAATAGGCATTGGCCGGGTTTAATGAAGTGCTGCAGTTCAAACATTCAAGTTCCTATATGCGTCTCGGACAAATTTTCGGCCGGACTCGCGGCCGGTCTCACGGCCAATCTCCAAATTCAGTAATCAAGAAATATCTCCCAAACTAATGAACGCAGCGCAATGAAACTTGGTACACGTGTTTATAAGGACGTAACTGTGATGTTTAGCTCGTGAAAAAATGTTAATCACCTTATTTCGTGAGTTATCTGGCGAAACGGGCCGAAATTTGCAAACAAACAAGGAATTTTTTCCAAATTACTGATCAGACTTGAACATAATTTTGAATATACATTCCCAACTACCAAACGGTGATGTTTTGCTCGTGAAAATTTTATCGATTGTGCCTCCGTTCGCGATTTTTTTTTTCATTTCACCTTCATTCGTGATTTAAACAGTAATTCGTGCTTAATTCACAATGATCAAGACATTTCTTCTAAACTACGGAATAGATTTGAACGAAACTTTGTACCTGAATACTTTACTTCCCAACGGTGATGTTTAGCTCGTGACAATTTTCTTGATTTTTCCCTCGTTCGCGAGTTATACGGATATACGGAGAAACGATCAGCATTTCAGAGGCCAATTTTTTTATTTTTTAAATTTGCATTGACCGAGAGCCGTATACATATTGGCGTATAACTCGCAAACGAAGGCAAGATAAAAAAATTGTCACGAGCAAAACATCGCCTTTGGGAAGTTACGTAGATATTTACAGTATATACAAACTTTCGTTCAAATCTGTTCAGTAGTCTATAAGAAATGTCTTGATCCCTGCGAATTTGAGCACGTATTGCTGTTTAAATCCCGAATGAAGGTGAAATGGGAAAAAAACTCGCGAACTAAGGCAAAATCGGAAAAAAATACGAGCTAAACATCACTGTATGGTAGTTAGGAATATTTATTCAAAATTTCGTTCAAATCTGTACAGTAATTTGGAAAAAATTCCTTGATCACTGCGAATTTTGGCCCGTATCGCCATTTAAATCACGAATGAAGGCGAAATTAAAAATATTCACGAGCTAAACATCACCGTTAAAGAATACGTGTACCAAGTTTCATCGAGCTACGTTCATTACGTTGGGTGATTTTTCTTGATCATTGAATTTGCGAGAACGGCCGCGGGTCCGGCCGCAAGTCCGTCCGTAAAGTTGTCCGAGATGTTTCCTATATATTGTGCCTGCCAGTTTAGTGCAGGGTGCAAACATGCAATAATAAGAAAAAATAAGCGTATGAAGAATTTAAATAGCGTTCTACATACTCTCAAAAACTAAAGACCGAAGCGTTGAACGTCCGCGCGATTGGGATACAAGTTATATAGTATTTTGATTACCCCTAGAGTTATGACTATAATATACCCAAGGAGATGGACGAATAATTTCAGTATGGAATCCTTTTAAAAAATACGAATTACATCTATGAAAAATAATTCAATCGTTTTATTATATGAAGTGTGCGATTTTTTTTCGCAGTAACGTCTTCTTTCTTGTGAGCATTCAGTACGACGTATTATGATTACAATCTATTATGATTACAAGAGATCTACAATATTATGATTATGAGATCTATTATGATTTCAATCGATTTTAATTCCATCCAATTAAAGTCATTAGCAGAAAAGTTCCTATTATATGTGGAGAGGAAGCTGTTAGTGAAGAATAAACGTAATAGGCCAGACAATTATCTTTTCGGATCCTACAATTTAGCCACAAAGATTTTTACAACAAAGATAAACGTTCGTTGATAAAAAATTTGTTTTTTAACCTCATACACAAACCCGCTTGAAGTCAAATGTTTATTTTATCCAGCAAAAATGAGATATTCGACCATTTCATCCCTTATTTTAATGCTTAGATTTTCATTTCGTATTAAAAGGTGTTTAAACAAATGAAAAAGCTGAATTTGCCACATCAAGCTCCCTTATCGTATTTGTCCGCCGCCTCCTCAAGAAATGTTCATGAAGAAAATGTAATCCATGCGAAAATTTATTTTACGACTTCGGAAAAATCGATTCGAATTTAAAATAAATATATTTTTAGGGCCTAGGCTGTGTGTAGGTTTTCTATTGTCTAGAATGCACAAACAAAACAAATCCTTATTACTGATTATAATGTTTGTCAAATCTCATGCAAATATATTCAAAATATTTCAAGAAACAATGTTCAACGCCCATGATTCTATTTACCATCGTCCATCTTCCTAAAAAAAAGACGTCGCACGGTACGACCCACTGCCGAATAATAATCTTAATTAATTAAAATTAATTTAACTATTTAGCGGAATATATAAGTAAGATGTTGATCAGCAAATTTACGAACTGTGTTCCCAATGACTTCAAAAAAATTCTGAAAATATTAATATTGAGCTACATCATGGAAGGAGAGAGCCTTACGTGGGAATCTTTTTGAAAAAATGCCCGTCATTTTGATGTGGACAATGCCAGAGAAGCTAGAAACAATGAAACGGTGTCAGAAATATCTGTCTACCTCAATCAGACGGAGAAAAGCGATGCAGGTGTGCAGTTTTCGGATTTATTTCCCAGTCGGGAGTTATTGGTAATCGCAAAGCCCTGCGTATAGAGAGGCACTCCAACATCGTGCTGGTACAACTTCTGCTACGGAACGTTACGATATGTCCTGCAGACAATGCGGTCGTGTCGGACACTATACTACAAAATGTAGAAAGTTGAGAGGCGAGTGTTTCATTTGTGGATCTTCAGAGCATTATATACGTCAGTGCTCAGCGTGCAGACCTTGAGGGGCCGGGAGAGAGAACGAGAACCAGGCAGCATCACGACCACTGCACGACAGTCGCCCGCGGAACGAGGAGTCGAGCCAAAGAGCCAGTGCTAACCCAAATGAACACAACACGAGTTCAAATCCAAAGCTGCTGCTCAAGAAACAAAGCTAGAGCGTCAACGTATACCCAATTCGGACAAAGCCAAACATCATCTACGCAACAGATTTTCATGGCTCGTAGATGAAACGGACCAAAATGAAGAAGACAACAACGGTAACTGTGGCAACTTTGTCAGCCACGTGAACACCGACCGAAATTATACGACCTACGACGAATGGAAGAATGAGCCGGCATGTGAGACCATGAACCCGAGACACAACCGTCAGCAGGGCGAGCCGGTGCCTGATGTCGAACAGCCTTCGGATGCTCACAGTAGCAGAACTCGTGTGTCCGAATTGCCCGCGGGTGACCCGGGCGCGCCACACAGAGCAGGCGAGTCCCAATTAAACCTTCAGCTGAATATTTCTTGTCTAAACCCAGAAAATCTCATGTGCTTATCGCTTAATGTTGATTTGACTGATGTCAGAATTTTGATTGATAGTGGGGCTGGTAAAAGTTTGTTTAGTATTGAGATTTTGGTGGATTTTGAAATTAATTTATTAATTCGGGAAGCTTCGGTAATCAAGGGATTTGGTATAACTCAAACGTTTGAATTGGGTCATGCAGAACTGCCATTAAATTTTTCGGTATTGTAATTGATGTGCCTGTAATAGTGGTCTCAAATGATGTCACTCAATATGATGTAATCCTCGGTTATTCATTTTTACACGTATAAAGAATTCCTGTAGATATGAACAAATGCACCATCAGTAAAGTCATGACTGGCAGTTCTAGCATGGGAGTGGTTTTGGAGGAGAATAATGCAGTCAAGTCGCTCTTGTTGGAGAATGTCCCAGCATATGCTTTAGAAAGTACTAGAGTAAATGGAATAGGAAGTAGAGCACCCATTGTTGCTAACTTTAGCTCCATATTGAATGGTTATATTCCATGCTACTTTTTTATGGTAAGGAGGGGACTGGTAAACGAAGTTTAGACGGTATCATTTCCTGTATGCATGGTACACCGGACCTAATTATTTCTAGTGTTATTTAGTTTAGTGTTATTTACAGTATTTTAGCTAGTTAAATTTAATTTGAGGTTATTATCAGGTGCCCATTCACGAAGATAGCCGGAAATTTACTGCTTTTAGTGCCTCACAATAATCACATAACCATTGCCAGTTCAAAAGACTTTCTTTCGGGTTGCGGAATAGTGCAATTACTTATTAGAAAAATATGCAACAAATCCTGTCAGGGTTCTGTTTTCATAATGTTCTTGTTTACATTGATGATATATTGATTATGGCTGAAATTTTTGAAGAACATCTGTCACTATAGTTAAAAGGTTTTAACAATGCTGAGTAAAAATGGTATCAAAATTAAAGTTCAGAAATGTGCGTTTTTCAGGAGATTAGCTACTTGTTTGGGACATGTGATAGGAGCATATGGCATACGTAAATCGCCCGAATTCATTGATA